CTCTCTCTCTCTCTCTCTCTCTCTCTCTCTCTCTCTCTCTCTCTCTCTCTCTCTCTCTCTCTCTCTCTCTCTCTCTCTCTCTCTCTTTATCTCTGTCTATATCTCTACTGTGAGTACATTACATGCACGTTTTGTTTGTTCTCGGTTTGAACTTCTTACTGCCTATTTCTTCCCCCTAAGTGCTTCTGTTGCAGGTTAGTTGCATGCGCTACTTTGCAACCGACATTTGGAGATATAAACCCCCTTTGTTGGTTGCGCTTTTACTTTTTTATTGCCTCTAAAAAATCGCTTGAAGACACCTTAACCTGCAAATTTCTTGGTGTCATCGTTTGGCTGGCTCTCTCACCTTCTCTCTTGCTGACGCCACTGGTGAGTCAAAAATCAACTATTGACCAGCGGGAACCAGATGTGACCAGTTACCTACGCACACTGCGCGTACCACTATCTGTGCACACTGGCATCTACTTCACCGACTCCCGTCTAGTTACTGTCACCAGCTCGCACTCTCTCACTAGACATTCCCCATTTTTACGGCCGACAAAATGGCGGATGGGGACAAAGTACCCTGTGGTAAATGCGCACGTATTGGGGGGTCAAAGATGGTGCACTGTCATGTTTGCGACACTCACTATCACTCTGTATGCATGAAAACACAGATCATCGTAAATGAAAAAGGGTCAAAAATTCGGATATGTCAACCATGCTACAGCGCTAGTGGTATTCCATCTCCCGCTCTATTAAGGCTCACTCGCAATAACTCAACGAGTTCCAATGGCTCAGGTCTTCATCACGATCTGGGGCCCTCAGTCCTCTGACACTTGCCCCCTCCCTCCAGGTACCGCCACCTCCGCCAGCTGCTGCTTTTCAAAGCGGGTCACCCTTACTATCTGACCCCGCTCTCGTCAGTAGTATAGAGTCTCTGGGAGTGATCACCAAGCGCACTAAGAACCTTGATGCCTTATCCACCAAGCTCGATACCGTTCAATCAGAACTCTCGGAAGTCAAGGCTAAGTTGTCAGCTCTGGACCAGCTTACAGCCCTGGTCAAGCGTGTTGATGACGTTGAGGCTGTTGTGGCTGAGCAGTGTGAGGAGATCAGAAGCCTGAAGCAATCTGTAGAGACTGATCTCGGGGCACTGAGGGAGCGAGTCAACTTGGTTGAAGAGGAGCAGCGGCAGATGAAGGAGGATATAGCCAACTCTGTCTCGGTGTCTGCTGGTGCGTCAGCTGAAGCGTCGGGAGCCGTCGTGGGCAGGGTGAGCTCCGTTGAGGAGACGATGAAGGAACTGACTGACTCTCTAGCGAAGATCAACGCAGAAAGGATGAAGCTTGTATCGGACATCCTCATCTCAGGCCTTGATCCGCCTGCGAACTGTGATATGAGAAAACTATCGTTCGCCATCTTTCGTGCCGTGTCTTCCTCTATTCAGATGGATGACATTCGCAGCTGGCGTCCTCTTCGGATGAGGCAGCCTTCAGCTGTGGATACCGCTGATGATAGAGCTGTAGTTTCTTCAGTATCTACGAGCACGGCAGCTGTTGGTGTTGCCAGGTCCTCATCACTTTTGGTGTCAGTCTCGTCTGGTGAACTCGTTCGTGAGTTAGTGATCGCGAAGGCAAGGCATAGCAAGCTGCATTCGTCTCAGTTGTCAGCTGAGCTTCTGTCTGCCTCTGGAGCGACACTTCCCCTGCAGCCATCACTCATCAACATCAACGAGTTCCTCCCGCAAGATCTCCGCAATCTTAGACGCGCTGTGAGGACTGCTGCCAAGGAGAGAGGCTTTCATACCTTCATTCGAAATGGAGCTGTGTTCATAAAGAAAATGAAGGAGGATGCTGCAACCAGAATCTCATCGATGGCTGAATTAAAAAACTTCATGGCGGGCCCTCAATAAACTCTTCTGCTTCTGCTTCATCTCCTGTCTTCAATCTTTCTCTTCCTCTCTCTTCTTTTTCTCAGTCTCCCGCTCCGCTTTCACTAACTCATTCCTACCTTGAGCACAGTCAGGCGGCAGCCATATTGGAATTGGAGGGTTTGCGTATCTGTCATCTTAATGTGAACTCTCTCAGAGCTCACATTGAGAGAGTCAGGCTTTTCCTGGAATCTCGTCCTCCATTTCATGTTATCGCCATGTCAGAGACTAAGCTTTGCCCTCTTATTGATGACGATGTCGTTTCGCTGGAAGGCTATAGGCTCGTCAGGCGTGATCGCAATACGCGTGGTGGCAGGGTAGCTTTGTTCATCAATAACTGCTTCAGGGTCACAGTTCTCGCATCCTCCTCTCATGTGTGGACTAAAAGACCTGGTTTCCCCGAGTATCTATTCTGTGAAATCTCCTGTCATGGTGTCTTTCCAGTCTTTGTTGCAGTGGTTTATAGGCCGCCACATGCTCCTTTCTTCCAGGATAATGACTTCATCCCCTCTCTGCAGGGGTTTCTTCAGGATTATAGCTCCAAGGTCATCCTTGGGGATTTCAATGCCGATCAGCTGTCCATGAGTAACCCTGATGCGGCTCTGGTGCGTTCGCTCTGCTCCGATTTTTCTCTGAGCCTTGTGCCGCATGGTGCCACTCATCATACTCATGGCTCAGACTTCTGGCTTGATCTGTGCCTGATTGATCATGGTGACACGCTTCTGTCCTACTGGAAGACAGAGACCTCCTTTGCGGATGGTCACGATCTTATCACTGCAACAATACAGGCTGTCCTGCCTCGCCCATCTGTGAGTAGGGACTTCACTTACATGGATTTTGCTGCTCTGGATCTTGATGTGCTATTGTCGCAGTTTGCCGGGAGCGACTGGTCGGTGTTCGATGGCCTGTCGTCTCCAGACGAAATGACTGCATGTCTGGGCGGTAATCTTGGAGTCGCCATGGACGCTGCTGTCCCGCTCAAGACGGTGAGGAAGTCCTCGAAGCGCAAGCCGTGGTTTACTGATGGTATTGTTGCTCTTGTAGCGAAGAGAGATCGCCTGTACTGTGTGTACAAACGTACTCACTCTCGTCAGGTACTCTTAACCTATCGCACAGCTCGTGATCGTGCTCATCGTGAGGTTGAGGCGGCACGTCAACTTTTCTTCCAGCGAAGGCTGGAGACTCTCTGACCCTTCGCTCATCTCGAAGGAGCTCAGAAGGCTTGGTGGGGTGACTGGGAATGACTCAACACCCGATTTCGATCCTGATCTCTTGAATCATTGCTTTGCTGGTGTCCTTTGACGAGACGGAGCTTTCGCTGGATGGGTTCTTGGACTCGGCTGAACTAGGGGCCATCCCTCCTGCCGTGGGTTTCCCCTTCAGGCCAGTCCCTGCTGATGAGGTACAGAAGGCTGTTCGGCACTTCTCTACCGAAGCTGAAGGGACTGATGCGGTTCCTAGGTCCGTGGTTGTGGCTGCCCTGCCGATTCTATCACCTTATCTAGTGATGCTCTTTAACATCTCTTTCGCTCGGTCTTGCTTTCCCTCTGAATGGAGGAGGTCCCTTATTGTTGCGCTTGGCAAGGTGAAAAACCCGGTGTCACCTAATGACTTCAGGCCGATTGCCTTGCTCTGTTTCCTCTCCAAGGTGCTGGAGAAACTTGCTTCCCAGCAAATCTCCGGCTTTCTTGCTGAGCGCTTCATTCTGGACTCCCTGCAGATGGGTTTTCGTCCATTCAATGGGACGCAGACGGCACTATTGAAACTGACAGACTACATTAGGACGGGTATTGATAGACGGCAGCTGACGATGCTGCTGTTATTCGATTTCAGCAAGGCGTTCGATTCTGTTTGTCACGTGTTGCTGCTGCGGAAGCTGTTAGGCTATGGCTTCTCAGCTTCTTCACTGAGGTCGCTTGCATCATATCTGGGTGGTCGTTCGCAGGCTACACTAGGCGGGGCGAGTGGCTGTTCATCCTTCTGTCAGCTGAATAGGGGAGTTCCGCAGGGATCTGTTCTAGGTCCTCTGCTATTCCTCCTGTTCATTAATGATGTTGGTGTAAACTTAGGGCCTGGAGTTCGGCATCTCATATATGCTGATGATCTCCAGATTTACCTGACCTTTCCACGTGAGGAGTTAGAGGATGCCATTCGCCGCATGGTGCTAACTGTGGGACAGACTGGGCTAATGCAAATCGGCTGAAGCTGCATGTGGCGAAGACGAAAGCCATTATTTTTGGCTCTAATGTCTTCGTTAACGATGTCTATTCCTTGCCCGGTTTGTCTGTCAACGTTGGTGGCTCTGCAATTCCTTTTGATACTTCCGTGCGCATCCTGGGAGTGGTTCTGGATAACAAGCTCTCTTGGAAGGGACATGTGGCGCAGGTGACGCAGAGGGTTCACTCTGTCATGTACCGCCTTCGGTTCTTTAGAGCCGGTACCACTCTGGGTCTGCGTAAACACCTCATTCAGGCTTTGGTGTTCCCCCTGATCGACTACTGCTGTCTCGTGTATGATGGTTTGTCTGGTATACTTGCTACTGTGATTCAGCGTCTCATCAATATGAAGGTTAGATACATCTTTGGGCTAAGGAGAGACGAGCACATCACTCCCTATCGTCTGCGGCTTGGCTGGACGACGTGTGAAGTGCGCAGGAAGTACTTCCTTGCGTGCCTCACTTACAAGATCCTTCGCTTTGGTCAGCCGGTGTATCTGGCTGACTTTTTTGTGGACAGTCGGGCCGTGCGGCCGGTGAGGGGTGATGTGAGTTCCCTTATGATCAAGCCTTTCAGGACTGAAGCCATGCGATCCTCCTTCCACGTGTCTGCGGCTTATTTATGGAACTCAATTCTCTCTGCAGTGCGGGACCTTCCCACACTGTCGTCTGTCCGATTAGCTGTGCGGAATTATCTGAGGGACAACTCTTAATGCCTTTCCTACCCTTTGCTCTCCTCTCATCACTTTCCCTTCCCCTGCTGCCCCAGTCTTCCTATCCCTTCTTATTCTTATACTCTTCCCTCTTTCATCGTTACCTTTTCGCACTTGCTATTCACCCGTTTGTTTAGGACCCGCCGAAGCTTGCTATTTCCGTTGCATATTGCTCCTTCTCATCTTACTCTGCTTTTTATGTATCCATTATTATTAGCATGTATTGTTTACTCCATGATATTCACTGCGATTTACTGTATACCAGCTTACGAGGTTCTGCCACCATAATTTTGTACAACAGAATGTACAGCAATAAACTCAATCAATCAATCTCTCTCTCTCTCTCTCTCTCTCTCTCTCTCTTTCCCTCTCCCCCCGCCCCTCCCTCATATTCAATTTCTATTCCTTTTCCCCTCTAATAACCTTCCCTTCCTATCTATCCCTCCCGTCCAATGACTACCTCCCTCTCGCTTTCTTCCTCCCACCCTTTCTGCCTACCTTCCGTTTCTCCTGTTCTTGCCATCACCCTCATTTCATTTTTATTAATTTTGTGTGTTTGTTTTTCAGAGGAGATCGGCGGGAGGGCGGTATGGACCCACATACCTCAAGAGCTCAGTGGATCCGGGCTCTGAGGTGCGAGGCTAGACGGATGTAGGCCGAGAGGAGTGGGAGTGCGGCCCGCAGCCGCCGGGAAGGGATAATAAGGATATAATGTATTTTCTTTTTTAAAAAAATTTATTTTTAGTTTCAAGTTTTAAATTAAAAAAAGAAATGTATTTTTTACAATTAAGGTTTTTGAATAAAAAAAAATGCATCATATATTCCTCTTCTTCATTTCAAACAGAAAATACCTCCAAAAATTTACTTCCCTTTAAATTTAAGTAACTAGCAAAAAGAATGTTCACGTTTGTTTTTTCATTGAAAAAAAATTATTCTTTAAAAAAATTACATTAAAAAAATTACTTTTAATAACTTAGATCTAATTATCATCTAAAAAATATAAAATTTGCTTAAATCTAAAAAAACGAGATTGATAATCTTGCTCTCGGGTTTCGTGATGACGTCATCGTACATTGTCCGTCGTATACCCTTGTAGTTTATTTGGTAAGGCTCTACCTTATCGACAACGAGGGCACGAATCGAGTCGTAATGAATCTGTTTACGCGTCTCGTAATTAAGCCTAACCCCTTTGACTTCTGCGATGGTTCCATCCGGTTCCTTTACACGATAAGTATAAAATTTAGGACCGCCTGAGACAAAAGACGTAATAAAACGCCCTTATCCGTAGCCCTCGACTTCATCGGTCAAATCACTTAGAAAATTCCCTAGTGGGAAACTCGTTACTTCCGTCGCTCACGTAAATAACCGAGTCTGCATCATAATATAAAACACGTTCTTGCTGTTTTTTTAAATAAGAATATAACTTGAGACGTGCGTGAGCTGTTGTATAAGCCGCAATAACAACGTTGGCTTTGGTAGACAGTTCCGCAACTTCGTTTAAATGTTTCCAGGACATGAAGAGAGTCTCGTTATCGATAGGGACAAGCCCTGTCACTTCGATTTCAGGATTGAACATTATGTTGGCAAACTCCTCATATGTTCGAATAATTGCCTTTTTCGTTAAATTTCCTCTCTCTCTAAATTTACCCCAGAGACAGTTTAAATAAAGTATTGTTACTGCTCTTAATCCAGCATTCTTTTGAATTTTATCCTTGTCCAGTTTTACACCTTCTCTCGCCTCATATTCAGCTATATATCTATCCTTGGATTCATCATCTGTGCATTCTGCTGGCCAATCGGAAGCCTCTTGTTTGATTTTCAGTAAAGTGTTTATATACTCGGCAAATAAACCTCCTGTTCGTGTCACAGGATCATAATGCGTTGTTTTTTTATACTTCCAAATTTCACTAATTGCCAAAATCTTATATCCCACCTCTACTGCTTTACCAAGCTCTGGGGCTACCCAAGTCCCCAAAAACTCGCGGCCAGTGGGGTCATCATGAGGGCAGTTGTCTTGGACTAGGCCTTCGCAGCATGACTGACAGAGAAGGAACAGTAGCTTACCGTGTGCTTTGACAGGTAAAACTGGGTGAAATAATCGTCGCGGGGGTAAAATGCGGCATTTTACAAGCCTTTCTATCCTCAAAATATCGTTATTAGGGCATATGATCTGACAATCGTCCCCTACATGTACAGTGGGGTGACCGATGGGAAAAATCCCCGTCTTTAAAACATATGGATATAATGAACACACGTCGAAATAGCGAATTTTTTCATTCTTTTTAACATCATAGTGTGTTACGGTATTTCCCATGCGGTCACCAAAAAAAGCATCGCGCGGATCTAAGACAATAAAGATTTGCTGATCGATGTTTTCAGCGAAGTTTGACAACTCGAGATCTGTCTTTTTTTTACGAATAAAATCGCATTTCCACATTTCAATGACTTCGTAACCCAAGTTATGCAATTCCCCTGTAATTGCTCCTGTTCTCTCATATCGACTCTCTAATGTAACCTTGTGGCTCAACTCTTTATCTCTGTTAAACTTGAAACACCGTGGACAACCGTGCCAATAACACCCGTGAAACTGATATGCATATTTTTTATTATTTTCATCATCTTCCCAATAACCATCTAGCCGATGCCCTGATTCCGTCCTGTGTTCTCGAGTACGCCCGGCGTGTATTATTCGATGATGCTCGCAATGTTCACGCCACAGGAGCCATTCAATTGCTACTTTTGACTATGTTTTTCCTAAACGATATCCTCCCTGATACCTATCTGTTTTTCTTTCAAGAAATTTGTTTGGAAAATCCACATACAAGTCGAAGCAATCGTGACACACTTTGTAAAAGGGCAAACATTCCCAGCATTCATAATTAATTTACGAAACTCCACACACGCTCGTCTCAAAATTGTAACATCAAGTCTACAATAATGGAAAATTTCTTCACGAAAATTAAACTCATAATTTTCTACTACTCGTTCATTATACCAAGCTATGAATTTTTCTCGATTTTGTACTACATTCATCGTATCCGCGCCGTAATATTTCTCATCAGGTACAGGCCCTACATAGCCCCAATTATCTTTTTTTTTTTATCGTTATTTTACATCGCTTCGACCCAGTTAGGGTATACTGCGATGATGATCAAGACTTTAAATGGTTAGATCGCACCATTTTACCCGGCCGGGATTTGAACTCGGAACTTTTCGCATATGAGGCAACGAACTTACCCACTGCGCCAAGCCACCGGGACAGTCCCGATTATCTTTTGTATTGAAAAAATGTGGAAAATAACCTTTCGCAATATCTCCCAATCCAAAAGCCTTTGGCAAACTGGCTAGAGCCATGTGGAAATAATTTAAACTATCTATAAATTTATTATCCCCGAAATCCATCAAAATAATGTTTGTGCCGTTAATAATTGCTTTAATCTCGATATTAATTCTACGCATGACATCCTTCAAAATAAATTGCGAGTCATAACCTTTCGCGTTATGAGCAATACAAACTACTTTTTTGTACGCCTTACCCATCGATGTGATGTAATTAACAAATCCTCGCCATTAAAAAAAATTTTCTCGAAGTTTACACACACTGCACGGGCTCTGAAGATTTTATTGAATCTTCACAATATCGTCATCAGCTCATCTTGTCCTGTCTCAAAGTCATTTAAAACAAATGCCACGCGTTTCATTGTTAATTTTTTTTTACTTTTCAATGTAGTCATGTAGCATAGATGAGAAATATCTTCGTCCTTCTGGCATACGGTACAATAATACTTGTCACACATGTGTTTCTGAATTTTCCGATGATCAATTTTTACATTGCATTTTTTACACAATTTTATGTGTCCACATGCGGCTGGCTTACTTCCGCTGTAAGACCCTGCTTTTTTATTACCGTAGAATTCTCGATTACACTCATCACACATTATTTTATCGACGATTGTAGAGTTACATGGAGGATTTTTCAGACACCTGTCACAAGTTTTATCACAAACATGCCCTCGAGCGTTGTAGGGCTTATTGCAATGTTCACAATAATATGTAGCCCCGAAAAAAGAAGGTAAATTTTGAATCGGCTCGTTGTGTCTGCCTTCCGGATAATACACAATGGGCAGGGTATATTGGGCAGGTATATTTCTGCTCGTCAGTTCAGGTGCTCCATCGTAGAGTACAGGATGATCTTTTCCATTTCTTTTGAGAGAATAGACCTTGATGATATATCCTTCTTGCGCCAAGTATCGTTGATATTGGGCAATATCCTCTAAACCACAACCATCGTCAGGAATGCATCAACGCACAGGGTTAATTCTAAACTCCATCACATGTATGTCGAGTTTGAAACGAGGGAGCCTCTGACGTGACCTTCGTATTGTTCTCAGAGCTGACGGTGGGCCCTCTACCTCTTCATTTTGGTCAAATTGAGCATCTGAAATTGAACTTATTTTCAATAGTAAAAATATTTTTTAGAAAAAAATATTCATTATTATTATTAATATAAAATGTGATACTCACCATTGTGTTGATCTAGTAAATCTAGATTGAAGTCTTCAATGGCTTAGGTGTCTCAGGATCATTGATCACATTTTTACCACCACCATATTGAATATCAAAGAACTCGGGGTTAAAACTCTCAAATAAATCCACATCAAAAATCCCTTAATAAGTCAAGATTAAAATTATCGATCCAATCGAAATCGCACTCCAGAGGTAGGTTATTTCCTCTAGAAGTACCACTAGGCCCTGGTAAATCGTTTGGGTCCGTCATTCTGAACAACTTTTAGGAAACTGTGGCTAAGTGAGAAAAAAATCAGCCTATATTTGAAAGAGTCAGTGTCCTACTATTGGCCACAGGGGGACATGTGTATATTTCCAGTATTTTACCTGTACACGCCTACGCGCATTGTCCTTGGCCAATGAGGCTCCCTTAGCAGGTCAACCGCTTGGGGCCTTACGACACCCCCTGCCCTTTTGAAATGTATACTACTTTTTGAATATCTTATATAAGTATATGAAATGATGAGTTTTTTACAATCCTTAATCAGACGGCAACATGGATACAAGATGGAAACATCCCTTCACTGCCATGATTTGTGGACCCACAGGTTGTGGGAAAACATTTTTTGTTAAAAGATTTTTGAATGAAATTAAAGAAATTTGTGATACACCGACTGAAAAAGTGATTTTCTATTATGCTGAGTAGCAAAATGGATATTCTGATTATGACAAAAATTTTGTCGAATTTCGAGAGGGTTTACAAAGATCCGGAGATTTTGATGATAATAAACCAAAATTTAAAATTTGGTTGTTGTGGACGACTTGATGCATGAATCATCGAATGGTGCAATAATCAACTTACTGGAGAATACGCCACATGTGGGAAAATTTCCCAAACCAACGTAGAGATAACTTTCAGGGGTTCTTTTGCTGTGCGTGGCTGCGCGTTGTCCTGCAGCAAAATTACTTGTTTCGTACCACTACCAATAAAAGGTCTCTTTTCTCTAATAGCATCATTTAATTTCACCAGTTGGTCCTGATAACGCTTAGCAGTGACCGTTTCCTCTTGTTCGAGTATTTCATAGCAGATTACACCTTTGGAATCCCACCAAATACACAACAACAATTTTTTCCCGTGAATGTTCGCTATTGCAGTACTCTTTGACGGCTTCCCCGGATAAACCT